GGTCTCATCTGCTCTGCATCCGCACGCCCGCTGCTCCGCCATTGCTAACACATCCTTACTCTGCAGGCCAACAGGACGCAGGCGCTGAATTACGGCTGTATTGTGGCGAACGCGGACACGCAGGAGGTACTGGAGGGTGTCGGGGAGCCGGGCATGGCGTGGGCAGTGGGTGCTGCCCTGCCTGCGTGGGCGCATGTTCCCAGCATGCCACAGAGGGTGTGATGCTGGGTGTGGGTGCTGCACCCCAGGACTCACATCTCTTCCCTCACTTCCAGGTCCAGCACTACGTGGAGAAGCCCAGCACGTTTGTCAGTGAGATCATTAACTGTGGCATCTACCTGTTCACACCTGCCATCTTCCAGCACATCGGCGAGGTCTTCCAGAGGAACCAGCAGGAGCTAGTGCTGTGAGTGCCTCTCTCTACCCCGTGTCTCTCCCACCCCACTGTTTCCCAGGGCTGCAGCGGCACGCTCATCCTCCATTCTTTCTCTATCTTCTCTCCTCCTCTGCCATCACTCACTTGTTTCCTGGTCCTGCACCAGCTGTCCTTACCTTGGGTAAGTCTCCCTCTGTGTCTGCACTGGCTGCTCTCTGGGCTGGATTGTCCCTAGCGATAACCATGCTTTCCTCCCTGCTCCAGACCGCTCTGCAAGGCTGCTCTTTCCTCTGCTCCACTCCTGGCCAGCTTGAGACACCCCCCTCTCCCTTCCTCTCCTCCCACCCCATCTTCATTGAGCTGCGGACAATGGGCTGAGCAAGCGTTTCACCTGGGAATGCTCTGCTCCTGCCTCCAGCTCTCTGCACCAGCAACCTGTCACCTGGCATCTCTGCCACCACCCAAGCAAAAAGCCAGCTGTGCAGGGCTCTGGAGTGGGGACAAGATCCATCGCTCGTACACCCACTAGGCTGGATGGGGCTCTTGCACCATCAACTTCTGGCTAAGAGCTTGTTTCAGCTGGCAGAGCCCTGTCCCTCTGCCACTCGGGGGCTCAGCAGGGCTGGGCAGGCCTAGCCTGATGGCTGGGGCTGTCCCCACCTTTGGAGAGAAGTGCATGGCTAGGAAGGAGTCCAGGAGCCCCCAGATTTGGGGAGGGTAGCTGCTGGGGTACCTGGCTGAGGCCATGACTGGCGTGGGTGTCTAACTGGCCTCTCGCTTGCAGAGAGGAGAGCTCCAACGGCTGGCAGCGTGCAGAAGTGATCCGTCTAGAGCAGGACGTTTTCACGGCGCTGGCTGGGAGCGGCAAACTCTATGTCGACAAAACTGATGGCTTCTGGAGCCAGATCAAATCGGCAGGGTAAGGGCTGGGGCTAGAGCTGGCACAGCAGGGGCATCGAGCGGTCTGTACCAGAGATGTGAGAGGAGGGTGCCCAGGCAGGGCCCTGCAGGTGGGTGGGGGTGCTGAATTCAGACCCTCCTCTGCCTCTGGTAGTGCCAGAGAGGTAATAACAATTGTTTGCTTTTCGTCCCCCAGCTCTGCTATCTATGCCAGCCGCCTTTACCTGAACCAGTACAACAAAAGCCACCCGGAGAGGCTGGCCCCGAACAAGCCTGGAGGCCCTGTCATCCGAGGTACCCCTCTGACACCCCCGACTGCCTTGGGGGCTGCTCTGTGTGGGGACAGGGCTGCCTTGGGAGGAATTGGGACCCATGGGCAGGACCTCCCCTGATCCAAGAGGCAGGGG